ACAGTCATGAAAAGTGCATAAATCCCACTCCAGGTTTCCCGTCTGTAATGATCCCAAATGAAAGCGCTCGCTGCGTCAGAAACAGAGAAGAGGTGTTCCCTCCGGAGCCTGGGAGCAGGTAATCACCTCCTGAGCTCCAGGGGACGCGCCGTCAGCCTCTGCCCAAGTTCATGTCACTGTGGCTGGGTACAAACTCCGCTCTCTCCCCCCTCTGCATTATGCATGACTCTGGGAAACACTCAGAGCTGCTGCTGCTGCTGCTGCTGCTGTGTGCCTGTGTAAGCTAATGACTGTAGCCCTGTTTCCACCAGCCCTACTTGCCACTCAGATTCACTCTACTCTACTTTTTGCGCCCCTACTCTACTCTACTCTACTCACCCCTATCCTACTCTACTCTCCTCTACTCTACTTGCCCCTACTTTACTTTACTCTACTCTGTTCGCCCCCACTCTAATGGCAGTGGTTAGAGCTTGTTTCACAGAAAGAAGGTCCTGGGTTCGACTCCACCTCCAGGCCTTTCCCTTTTGTAGTATGCATGTTTCCTCCGGGTGCTCCGGTTTCCCCTACCATAAAAACATGCTCCTGACATACGCCCAGTGGCATCAGGCACCTTTACCTTTAACCAGATACTTATTATTATTACAGTTTATTTGGCATTTTCAGTAAAACCTCATTGGAATACACGTGCAAGGTTCCCCAGTGTGCACCAGACAAGTACAGAAACAAAACACGCTAAAAAGTACAGAAACAATAATCACAGTGAAACCATCGACAAAAACAGCTTCAGTACAAGTTCAGTACATTAAGTGCTGTGTTCAGACTGAGAACAGCTGAGAGAAGCTGTTAGCATTTAGCAGGTTAGCATGTTAGCATTTAGCATATCCAGACATCCTGCATCTCAGCATCCTGTATCTTCTGCCAGAGGGAAGAAGCTGGAACATGGCTTTTCTGGTCAATCACTGTCATTTAGAACCAGACCAGACCAGAGTAGGGTAGGGCTGGTGGTAACAGGGCTCATGTGCTGTATTAGCCTGGTCTTACCACACCATGGTACTCATTTCATTTGGTACTAAGGTCTGGATTTGCTCCGTGAACAGGTCCTTTTGCAGATTGAAACGATTGGATCTGAGTTTACTGTGACAGCCCTACTCGACTGTCTGTGACGTCAAGAGTATTCTCAAAGAGTATTTCTCTTTGGGGCCCATCAGGTGGATGTGGGACCTGTGAGTGAACATGTCCCACAGTCACCAACATCGGCGTTAGCACAGACAGTGATTTTAACTTTGACAAGCAGGTCAACAGTGTTTTTAAATCATCTGCGGCTTTTTTATCCTTTAACCTTTTTTTAACCAAGGATTAGATCGATGCTGTAGGTGCCATGTGACCGCGGCAACTGGACCTGAGCACGGTTGGGAGAGCTGGGCCAGGGCCCGCTTTGCAAAGCCCAGATGAGGGGGTCAGTGTGGCGGGTGGTGGGGAGTGGGGGGTGAGGTGTGGACTTGGTATTGTGCGTCACATTACGTCTTCCTTTGGGGCTTTTCACACACGTCTCTCCTGCACTTTGTGTTTTCTGCTTGTGTTACAGTAAACCTTTCATGTGAGTCTTTATTTAATCGCCAGAACACACACACCAAAACACACACACACACACCAAAAAACACACACACACACAGACACACACCAAAAAACACACACACACACCAAAAAACACACAAACACACACACACGCACACACACCAAAACACACACACACACACACACACACATGTTACCCACTGAACTGCTGCACTTTGCATCAGAGCAATGTGGACAAGTGTGAGATGTGTCTTTCCCTAAACAATGCAGTCTGTACAGTAGCTGTTAGCTACTGTGGCTAACAGCTGCAATAGCAGAACGTAAACAGGACGAGAAATGGAAACTAAACTCGGACAACGAGGTCGTAGCTGGGGTTAGTATTATCGCCACCAGCTGGACTGAGAACTGTACTACAGCACAGTTGGTCTGGCACGGTTGAGAGAATAATCCCTTGTGACCGCGGGCCGTCTTCACACCCTGTGGCGAGGGTCCGGGCCACTTGGCCCAGTTTGTTTGTAAAAACCTCTGTGATCGTGCCCTTAAAGTGGTTCTCACCCCCGCTCCTCGGAGCTTACGTCACTCACATTTCCTGTTCAAATCTTCCTCTAAATGGGCGTGGCCTGGAGGACTGAAGGGGGCGTGAACGAGACTGGGCCGTTTACATTGCTCTGGGCGGGGGGCTTCAGACGTCAGGTCTTGCTTCAGACGTCAGGTCTTGCTTCAGATGTCAGGTCTTGCTTCAGACGTCAGGTCTTGCTTCAGACGTCAGGTCTTGCTTCAGACGTCAGGTCTTGCTTCAGACGTCAGGTCTTGCTTCAGACGTCAGGTCTTGCTTCAGACGTCAGGTCTTGCTTCAGACGTCAGGTCTTGCTTCAGACGTCAGGTCTTGCTTCAGACGTCAGGTCCTGCTTCAGACGTCAGGTCTTGCTTCAGACGTCAGGTCTTGGTTCAGACGTCAGGTCTTGCTTCAGACGTCAGGTCTTGCTTCAGACGTCAGGTCTTGCTTCAGACGTCAGGTCTTGGTTCAGACGTCAGGTCTTGCTTCAGACGTCAGGTCTTGCTTCAGACGTCAGGTCTTGCTTCAGACGTCAGGTCTTGCTTCAGACGTCAGGTCTTGGTTCAGACGTCAGGTCTTGCTTCAGACGTCAGGTCTTGCTTCAGACTTCAGGTCTTGGTTCAGACGTCAGGTCTTGGTTCAGATGTCAGGTCTTGCTTCAGACGTCAGGTCTTGGTTCAGACGTCAGGTCTTGGTTCAGACGTCAGGTCTTGCTTCAGACGTCAGGTCTTGCTTCAGACGTCAGGTCTTGCTTCAGACGTCAGGTCTTGGTTCAGACGTCAGGTCTTGCTTCAGACGTCAGGTCTTGGTTCAGACGTCAGGTCTTGCTTCAGACGTCAGGTCTTGCTTCAGACGTCAGGTCTTGCTTCAGACGTCAGGTCTTGCTGCCTCGCCAGTGTTGGCGCCAGATTCAAAATTCAAATGTAGTAATACAGGTCGCCAGCAGATGGCGACTCACAGACGGTTTTAGGCAGAAAGTTTAACTTTCAACTAATTTGCACCAAAGTGACAAAACTATGACCAGGATATGTAGACAACACTATTGGACACTCATTTATACCGTTTATCAGCAAAAAAAGTGGATTTGAGGGTGAGTTGTCCTTTAATCTTAAAAGTTAAACAAAAGAAGATTTTAAAACATTTGTGTTTTAAAATACTCCGCAGCGATGGTCCGCCTGGTTCTGTCCTGGTTCTGTCCTGGTTCTGTCCTCGGAGCGAGTCAGTGCAGATCTTAATTGCTGCTTAGATTCCAGAGCTGATTATATTTCTCAGTCTCTGTGTGATAACGGACAATAATGAGGGAGAGATAATTCCATCAGTGCAGGAAACATGAGGCGCCTGTGGCACGTCCCGTCATCCACTGTTTACATTCAACACTTCAGCACCAGTGTGTCTCCAGGAGGTTGGACTGCTTTAACAGCTGCTCTCCCCGACCAGAACCAGGAAGTACCATCATATTAGTCCTGACTTATTTTTCAGTCGCTTTGATGCTGCCCCTGACACCTCTCCCTCCCCCACCCCCCACTACTCTAACGACCCACCCATCAGCCCTGCCCCCAGCCTGACAATAGCCTCTAAAGAGATTAAACAACTCTTCCTGAGGCTGCACCCCCGCAAAGCTCCTGGCCCGGACCACGTGTCTCCGGCCACTCTGAGACACTGCGCCAGTGAGCTTACTCCTGTGTTCACGGACATTTTCAACACCTCTCTGCAGTCCTGCCATGTCCTGCTTCAAATCCTCCATCATTGTCCCCGTCCCGAAGAAGCCCAGGATCACAGGACTCAACGACTACAGACCTGTAGCACTTACGTCTGTCGTCATGAAGTCATTTGAACGCCTGGTTCTCTCCCATCTCAAGTCCTTCACCTCCCCCCTCCTGGACCCCCTGCAGTTCACCCCCCCCTCCTGGACCCCCTGCAGTTCACCTCCCCCTCCTGGACCCCCTGCAGTTCGCCTACAGAGCCAACAGATCTGTAGACGACGCCATTAACCTGGCCCTCCACCACATCCTACAGCACCTGGACTCCCCGGGGACCTACGCCAGGGTCCTGTTCGTGGACTGCTGCTCTGCCTTCAACACAATCCTGCCATCCCTGCTCCAGGACAAGCTCTCCCAGCTCAACGTGCCCGATTCCACCTGCAGGTGGATCACTGACTTCCTGACGGACAGGAAGCAGCGAGTGCGTCTGGGGAAGAATGTCTCGGACTCTCGGATTATAAATACAGGAGCCCCACAGGGCTGTGTTCTTTCTCCCCTGCTCTTCTCCCTGTACACCAACCACTGCACCTCCAGCCACGACTCTGTGAAGCTGATCAAGTTCGCAGACGACACCACCCTCATTGGACTCATCTCCAACAACGATGAGTCCGCCTACAGGAGGGAGGTGGACCGGCTGGTGTCCTGGTGTCTCCTACAGGAGGGAGGTGGACCGGCTGGTGTCCTGGTGTCTCCTACAGGAGGGAGGTGGACCGGCTGGTGTCCTGGTGTCTCCTACAGGAGAGAGGTGGACCGGCTGGTGTCCTGGTGTCTCCTACAGGAGGGAGGTGGACCGGCTGGTGTCCTGGTGTCTCCTACAGGAGGTGGACCGGCTGGTGTCCTGGTGTCTCCTACAGGAGGGAGGTGGACCGGCTGGTGTCCTGGTGCAGTGGTAACAACCTGGAGCTGAACGCCCAGAAGACAGTGGAGATGATTGTGGACTTCAGGAAGAGCACTGTCCCCCCGCCCCCACGACTCCGTGATGGACTCCCCCATCACCTCTGTGGAGTCCTTCCGTTTCCTGGGCACCACCATCACCAGGACCTCAAGTGGGAGCCGACCATCAGCTCCCTCATCAAGAAGGCCCAGCAGAGGATGTACTTCCTGCACAGATGTTGACCTCCTCCATCACCTCCTCCATCACCTCTTCATCACCTCCTCCATCACCTCCTCCATCATCTCCTCCATCATCTCCTCCATCACCTCCTCCTCCACCTCCTCCTCCACCTCCTCCTCCACCTCCTCCATCACCTCCTCCATCACCTCCTCATCACCTCCTCCATCACCTCCTCCATCACCTCCTCCATCACCTCCTCCATCACCTCTTCATCACCTCCTCCATCACCTCCTCCATCATCTCCTCCATCATCTCCTCCATCACCTCCTCCTCCACCTCCTCCTCCACCTCCTCCTCCACCTCCTCCATCACCTCCTCCATCACCTCCTCATCACCTCCTCCATCACCTCCTCCATCACCTCCTCCTCCACCTCCTCCTCCACCTCCTCCATCACCTCCTCATCACCTCCTCCATCACCTCCTCCATCACCTCCTCCATCACATCCTCCATCACCTCCTCCATCACCTCCTCCATCACCTCCTCCATCCCCTCCTCATCACCTCCTCCTCCACCTCCTCCATCACCTCCTCCATCACCTCCTCCATCATCTCCTCCATCACCTCCTCCATCACCTCCTCCATCACCTCCTCCATCACCTCCTCCATCACCTCCTCCATCACCTCCTCATCACCTCCTCCATCACCTCCTCATCACCTCCTCCATCACCTCCTCCATCACCTCCTCCATCACCGTGTGGTTTGCTGGAGCCACAGTCAGGGACAAACAGAGACTACAGTGCATTGTGCGCTCTGCAGAGGAAGTGATCGGCCGCAGCCTTCCATCGCTGCAGGACCTGTACGTCGCCCGAGCTCGAGGCCGGGCTGGTCGTATCACAGCCGACCCCTCTCACCCTGCACATGGACTATTCCAACCACTCCCCTCTCACCTGCACATGGACTATTCCAACCACTCCCCTCTCACCTGCACATGGACTATTCCAACCACTCCCCTCTCACCTGCACATGGACTATTCCAACCACTCCCCTCTCACCTGCACATGGACTATTCCAACCACTCCCCTCTCACCTGCACATGGACTATTCCAACCACTCCCCTCTCACCTGCACATGGACTATTCCAACCACTCCCCTCTCACCTTGCACATGGACTATTCCAACCACTCCCCTCTCACCCTGCACATGGACTATTCCAACCACTCCCCTCTCACCTGCACATGGACTATTCCAACCACTCCCCTCAGGCAGGAGACTGCGGTCCATCAGGACTAGAACCTCCCGCCACAAGAACAGTTTCTTCCCCTCTGCTGTAGACCCAGGACTGAGACTGTAGACCCAGGACTGAGGCTGTAGACCCAGGACTGAGGCTGTAGACCCAGGACTGAGGCTGTAGACCCATGACTGAGGCTGTAGACCCGGGACTGAGGCTGTACGGTGGCGGTACGGTGGCTGAGTGGATAGCACTCTCGCCTCTCAGCAAGAAGGTCCTGGGTTCGAATCCCGGCCGGACCAGGGCCTTTCTGAGTGGAGTTTGCATGTTCTCCCCGTGTCTGCGTAGGTTTCCTCCGGGTGCTCCGGTTTCCCCTACCACTAAAAATATGTACAATAGGTCTGGCATGCGCCTCCTGTTCGGCGACCCCGCTCCCATCTCTGTGTGGAGTGAGAGGACAAGTGCCCAAAAAATAACAATTGTAAACCGCTTTGAGACTCTGGTCTGTGAAAGGCGCTATATATATAAAGCTTACTTACTTACTGTAGACCCGGGACTGGGACTGTAGACCCGGGACTGAGGCTGTAGACCCAGGACTGAGGCTGTAGACCTAGGACTGAGGCTGTAGACCCAGGACAGAGGCTGTAGACCCAGGACTGAGGCTGTAGACCCAGGACTGAGGCTGTAGACCCAGGACTGAGGCTGTAGACCCAGGACCGAGGCTGTAGACCCAGGACTGAGGCTGTAGACCCAGGACTGAGGCTGTAGACCCAGGACTGAGGCTGTAGACCCAGGAGGCTGTGTAGAGCTGCTTGTTTATCAGGATGTTGCATAAAAACAAAGTCAATTGAATATGGATCGACTGAGGCTCGTCCTGTGTCTTAGGGACTACACACACACACACACACAAAGACACACACAGACACACACACACAGACACACACACACACACACAAACAGACACACAGATAGAGACAAACACACACAGACACACGCACAGAGACACACACAGACACACACAGACACACACAGACACACACACATTAACACACACATAGACACACACACACACCCACAAACAGACACACACACAGACACACACACACACAATTTTGTAGTCCAGACATGAACACAAAGCAGCAGTATTGAATGATCTGGAGACAGACGTGGGTTTCTCGCACAGATGACTCGGAGATAAATAAATCGTTCAGATTCTGGTTTTACACAGAGAGAGAGAGAGGAACAAGAGAGAGAGAGACCAGAGAGAGAGAGACCAGAGAGAGAGACCAGAGAGGAACAAGAGAGGGAGACCAGAGAGAGAGAGACCAGAGAGAGAGACCAGAGAGAGAGAGACCAGAGAGAGAGAGTCCAGAGAGAGAGACCAGAGAGATAGAAAGAGACCAGAGAGAGAGACCAGAGAGAGAGACCAGAGAGAGAGACCAGAGAGAGAGATACCAGAGAGAGAGAGAGAGAGAGAGAACAGAGAGAGACAAGAGAGAGAGCAGAGAGAGACAAGAGAGAGAGCAGAGAGAGACAAGAGAGAGACCAGAGAGAGACCAGAGAGAGACCAGAGAGAGAGACCAGAGAGGAACCAGAGAGGAACAAGAGAGAGACCGGAAAGAGAAACATAAGAGAGAGAGAGATTTCTGAGAGACCAAAGATAAACTAAAGAGAGAGAGAAACAGAGAGAGAGAGAGACCATGGAGAAACAGAAAGAGAGTAAATCAAATGCGTTGGAACCACCATCTCCTCAACAAAAGCCTTTTCAAATATGTTCAAACACTCTGGTCTTTCTCAGTTTACAGTTGTTACATCAGTTTGTCTCTCCACACAGAGATGGGAGGGGCCAGTACAGGAGGCACAGACCTGCTGTACATGTTTTTAGTGGTAGGGGAAACCGGAGCACCCGGAGGAAACCGGAGCACCCGGAGGAAACCTACGCAGACACAGGAGAAGATGTAAACTCCACTCAGAAAGGCCTTGCTCCGACCGGGATTCGAACCCAGGACCTGGACGAGAGCCACTCGTGCCACCCACACAGAGCTTTGTTTATGACGATGTACATTTGGCAGATTCAGTTGGGAGTGTTTTGAGAGGGGGCGAGAAGGCTGAATCCCACTCTCTCTTTGGTCTCTCTTTGGTCTCTCTCTGGTCTCTCTCTGGTCTCTCTCTGGTCTCTCCCTGGTCTCTCCCTGGTCTCTCTCCCTGGTCTCTCTCTGGTGTCTCTCTGGTCTCTCTCCCTGGTCTCTCTCCCTGGTCTCTCTCTGGTCTCTCTCTGGTCTCTCTCTCTGGTCTCTCTCTCTGGTCTCTCTCTGGTCTCTCTCTGGTCTCTCTCCCTGGTCTCTCTCTCTGGTCTCTCTCCCTGGTCTCTCTGTGGTTTCCCTGGTCTCTCTCTGGTCTCTCTCTGGTCACTCTCTGGTCTCTCTCTGGTGTCTCCCTGGTCTCTCTCCCTGGTCTCTCTCTGGTTTCCCTGGTCTCTCTCTGGTCTCTCTCCCTGGTCTCTCTCTCTCTGGTGTCTCTCTGGTCTCTCTCCCTGGTCTCTCTCTGGTGTCTCCCTGGTCTCTCCCTGGTCTCTCCCTGGTCTCTCCCTGGTCTCTCTCTGGTCTCTCTTGGTCTCTCTCCCTGGTCTCTCCCTGGTCTCTCTCTGGTCTCTCCCTGGTCTCTTTGCTCCACTGAGAGTCGTTCAAATGTCCGTCCTCGTGAGAAGTCTGGCCTCCTGCTGTGTTCCTCTTCTTCTTCTTCTTCTTCTTACACAAACCCAGTCCCTCTTACTGTCTCTACTGCACAGCGGCGCCCGGAGGGAATCCTGCTGCTCTGGCCTTTCCAGCTTCAGACAGACGTTTAGAACACCGCCAAAACTGCTGAAGAATGTAGTACTTTACCATATTTAGACGGTCAGGACCACAGAGCTCTCACCGTGAGATCTCTCTGGGACTGGATCATAATGTTTCAATCTGGAGAGACTGGAGCAGACAAAACAGTGGGTTTATTAGAATTGTATAATGTTGTACATGAATCAGCTCAGACGACTCTGAAGATAGCGAGAAACGTGGTTCAGATTTGGGCTTAGACCCGACAGAGCACTGAGGATGATTGCAGAAAGGGCAATGACCCCATAGATTATGAGATGACCCCTGAGGTCCAAACCCTGGTGGTGGGAGGGAGGAGGTGCCAGAGCTGGTCCGGGCGGTGAGGCGCTGATGGGGAGGAGGAGGGTTGCTGCATGAATGAAAGCTCCCTGTACGATGTGAGGCTTGATGCTGCCAGACGAGGACTGACAAAGTTATTCCAGCTTTTCTTACAGAGAAAATATGGCTCTAAAACCTCTTTATTTTACTTTATTTTATCTTTAGTCGTTTGTCAACAACAAAACCTCAGAATAACATCTTGAGAACATGTGAGAAAGTACGTTTAAGAACATTTATGAACATTAAAGAACATTATAGGACAGCGGTCATCTGCTTCTTATGGACCAATGTTAGGGTTAGAGACCAATATGTTTTTATCCTTCCATTTCCTGTGTTTGCACCGTTTGATTTTCTGATCTGTGTCGATGAATCAACAACTTTATTAACCCTTTAGGCACCACAAGTTTTTTCCTACAGTAAGAGGCTCAATTTTGACATTTGAATTTCTTAGTAACATGCTATCTCTTTTCGCTACTGCATCCTCGTGGTGTCTGCGTGAGTGTAGATGAGTTGTGTGACTAAGAAAGTCAAAAGGTGTTTTAGTGGTGCTGGTGAGGTCGGTAGGTAATGAATTTAGGGTGGTGGGCAGTGTTTTTTAGGGGTGTAGTTTGTTGGTGTTGTTGTTGTTTTTCGTGGGATAAGTCCAGCTAGACACTGTAGTTCTGCTGGTTGTAACGGTTATATTTTGGGTGGCTGTGTTTTGTTTTAGTTGAATATTGTTTGTTAGAGAGTGGGTGGGGGGGTGGGAATTATTGGGCTTAATTGTTTATATCAGTGGTGGTTGAGGTCTTTGTTAGGGGGCTGGGTTCTTAGGTGTGCGATACTGGTGGGTGTTGGTTGGTGGGATTTTTGGTTTTTGGGTTTGGGGGTGTTTTTTGTTTTATGTGGGAGATTTATATGGGTGGGGGCCTGAGGGGTGTGTTTGGTGTATTGGGTTGGTGGGGGGGTGGGTGATGTTTGTTTTGGGTATTTGTTTTCGGGTGGTTGGGGGTGGGTTGTTGTGGTTTTGTGGTTTGATTGGTGGTTTTTGTTTTTGGGGGTTAGGTATGGGGGGTTGTAGGGTGGATTGGTGGTTGGGGAGGTGTGGGTTTAGTAATATCGTCAGTGTGAATATAAAATATAAAACTCTGTATCGTGGGAGGTCGTGGAGTTTGGTGGGTAAGGGAGAGGCGTCTGGGAGTCTTCTCTTTTTGATTACAGTCCACACCGTTCAATGGTGGGGGCACCATGGGTGTTGGTGATGTAAGCCGACAGGGTTGTATGAGTGTGTACTGGGGGGGGAGTATCCACGCAGGGATAGGGGGAGGTTGGAGGGTTTGGTCTGAACGGCCTATGGGGGAGGGGAGTGGGCACAATGGGGGTGTGGGTTGGGGCTGTTTTGGTGGGGCAGTGGTTTTTGAGGGATCGTGTGGTTAGATCACTTGGGGGCGATTGATGTGGATTCTTTGTCGCGTGTTCATGGGAGGTTGGGGTTGTTTTGGGTGGGGGGTGTTTGGTGAAGGTGGGTCACAAAAACGATTCCCCGGGAGCAGGAACGAAAGGTATAATTAATAGTAAGTAAGTAAAAGTAAAGGTGTTTTTGGGGGGGTTAGTATGGTTGGTTGTTAGAATTGGGAGAGCTCACTTAGTTTCTCCTCTGTTTGATATTGTGGATGGATGAGGAAAAGATCCTTTGTCAGTCCGCGGCGTATGGCAGCTGCAGCCGCACATCGTACAGGTGTAGGATGTCAGCTAATGTCATGCATAGTGCAGCCTTCTGCAGTCCGTCAGCCCCGCGTTCCACAGTAAGAGCTGGGAACTCACCGTATCGACCCGGGTACAGCACATCGAGGGGCTCACCTACTCCCCGCCTCCTACTGGGTTTTTGGGGAATCAGCTGGTGAGTGCAGCGCTAGTATTCAGTTGGGGGGTCGAGTGCCCTGTCTTTTGCTTTCGAGTCACCACCGCTTGGATGAGGGGAATGCGGTCGAGGGTGGGCGAGTTAGATCTTACCCTAGTATGCTTAGGCGGTGATCCACGGGTCGCGCCGTCGCGCACTGTGGAGGAGTCGGTGCGCGTTTGCCAGGGACAATAAATGGAGACTTGCTATGGTTTTTCAAGCACAGTGGGACGGGGGGGGGCGGTTCCAGGACGACATGTTGGTAGGGCAGCCTGTGGGATATACTTGGTGGTTCCCTGAGTTAGTCACAGATAGAGAGAAGATGATGGCCAGAGAGAGAGGATCTCACGGTGGAGTTGGGTTTGGTGAGTAGATTGTAGGGGGTGTGGCGGTCCTTGCTCTCCGTGGCGCGAGGCGGGGAACCGTCTTTCGTTCCGTCTTTTACGTCCCGTTAAATAGTTTTATTATATGATACTAGTGTATGGACTACATGAGTCAATTGCTGTTGTGGTCGGTGTTTCGTAGAACATGGAGCGAGTCTGTCTGGTACGTACTGAGAGGCAGGAGCAGCAGGATTCCACTCCGGCAGCTGCTTCTGGCAGTATCGAAGTCAGTAATGTAAGGCGGATATGGGTTTTGGGTAATTGGTAAGAAAAGGTAGAAGAGAAGAATAGATAGTGAGGAACAGCAGCAGTCCGTTAGGCCCGACTTCTCACTGAGGCGAGACATTTGACACGACTTTCAGTGGCAGCAAGGAGACAGGGAGTGGGAGTAGACCAGAGGGAGATTATGAGTGTATCCAGGGGCGGTGTACGTTGATGAGGTAGGGAGAGATGAGGAGAATTCGGGCGAGAAGTGAATAAATTGGAGAGATCCATGGGGGGATAGGATGTAAGGAGTGGATGGGTGAGTGGTGACCACTGACATCGCCGGGAGACCATGAAGGAGAGATCCTAGGTCCTTGAGATTCCAGGGATGTGGAGACCAGGAGAGTTTCCTGGGATGATCTACGCAGAGAGTGACCAGGGAGAGAGACAAGAGAGAACACCAGAGAGAGATGAGGACTGATCGCTGAGGGCAGAGTAATTCCCTTGAGCAATGGTGAGGGAACCTACTGGAGATGTGACCAGCGGGAGAATGTCGGGTCGCGGTTGTAGATTAAGAACCAGAGGCAGAAGTAAGTAAGACGGGGTGGTGTTGTCTGTAATTGGTTTTTCTTTGGTGGGTTGGATTCTGGCGCTATGCACGTACGGTGAACGATGTCCATTTGGCGTTGGTATGAGAAGATGAAGAACATGTTGGGAGGGGAGCGGATTTGATTGAGACACCAGCGTAGGTTAGACCTAGTACCAGAGTAGGCAATGAGACAGTCACCCAGAGAAGGAGAACAGAGGATTCTATTCGTGGGTTGTAGTGGGAGATCAGGGACCAGAGATATGAAGAGAGAGATAGTACTAGGACCAGTGAGAGAGACAAGGTGATGGAAACCACCAGAAATGGAGACCTCAGAGGAGAGATGGGAGACCAGGTTGAGGAACCGAGAAACAGCTGTTCTGAGATGACGCAGAAATGATGGATGACCATGTAGAGTACATGAAGGAAGTAGACGACCAGGTTTTCGATAATTTCACGCACGATGTAAGAGCCTCAGAAGATGAGACCAGATGAGATGTCCAGGTTGAGACAGATGTCCAGGAGCAGTAGAGAACCAAGAGTGTACTACCAGAGACGATGACCAGGGATGATGCAATGACTCGTTTGTGAAATTTTGGAGACAAGGATGTAGGTTGATGGGGCACGTAGCATCGATGACGAGGGATCGAGACCAAGAGAGCCAGTGAAGTTGCCCCTCGACGAGAGATCCATGAGATGTGTGACAAAAGTGGAGACCAAAGAGCAGGTGTGGTAGATTCAGCCTTCTCGCCCCCTCTCAACAAAACACTCCCAATGAATCTGCCCAAATGTAAAATTCGTCTTAATACAAGCTCTGTGTGGAATAGTCGTGCTCATCGTAGTGGGCCTCTCAGATCCCAGGTCAGCTGTTGTTCGCAATCCCGGTCGAGAGCTATAGGGCCGTTCTGAGTGGAGTTAGGTTTAAATGTCTTACATGTGTCTGCGTAGGGTTCCAGCACGTGGATGCAGGTGGTGGGCTCCGGTTGTCTCTCCGGTTGTTGTTCTACCGGGTTTCCGCTCCTAACACTTAATACATAGTTCGCAGGTCTCTGATGCCTCCGGTACTGGCTCCCTTCCCATCTATGTGTGGATAGAGCCAATACTCGATCTGATAACTTAACTGTAAACTGAGATAAGACCAGAGTGTTTGAACTTATTTGAAAGGCTTTTCTCTTTTGTTTGAGGAGATGGTTGACGTGTCCTAAACCGCCCCATCCCCCCCCCCTTATCCCCCCCCCCCAAACGTCCCTCCCATCCCCTCGCGCCCCCCCCCCCCCCTCCCCTCCCCCCCCCCCCCCCCCCCCCCCCCCCCCCCCCCCCCTCCCCCCCCCCCCCCCCTCCCTCCAGTGGATGGGTTTCCTGCGCGGGAGGGAGAGCAATGAGGAGCATATGAGACGGCGGACGACGGCGGGAGCATAGCGAGGGCGGTGCAGCGGGGGGCAGAGAAGTGTTTGACGCGCATGCGCGCGGTGGGGGCAGCAGAGTCCGTGGCGCAGACGCGACGGGTTGCCCGTCGCCTTTTGTGGCACCTGCGGTAGAGGGAGCGCGACGACACAGTCGAGGGAAGAGAAGTGCAGTAGAGTGGTCGCGCGCGAATGGGCAGAGAGGTTCGGGCGAGACAGTCCATGACGCGCGCGCAGGGGCGAGCGACGGCCCACGCGCGCTCAGCTAGGGAGAGCGAGGCCCGACGGGCGCGAGACACGCGCGCGCGCGACGCTGGGCGTTAGCGACGACGAGCTGAGGCAGACAAGAGAGCAGAAAGTCGGGGGTCTCTCTCTCTGGTCTCTCTCTCTGGTCTCTCTCTGGTCTCTTTCTATCTCTCTGGTCTCTCTCTCTGGACTCTCTCTCTCTGGTCTCTCTCTCTCTGGTCTCTCTCTCTGGTCTCTCTCTCTGGTCTCCCTCTCTTGTTCCTCTTTGGTCTCTCTCTCTGGTCTTCTCTCTCTGGTCTCTCTCTCTCTTGTCCTTCCTCTCTCTCTGTGTAAAACCGATCTGAACGATTTATTTATCTCCGAGTCATCTGTGCGAGACAACCCACGTCTGTCTCCAGATCATCCAATACGGCTGCTTTGGTGTTCCGGTCTGGACTACCAAAAATGTGTGTGTGTGTGTCAGGTGTGAGTGTCTGTTTGGGGGTGTGTGTGTGTGTGTCTGTGTTGTGTTGGTTAAATGTGTGTGTTGTGTCTGTGTGATGTCTGAGTGGGTGTCTGTGTGTGTCTCTGTGTGGCGTGCTGTCTGTGTGTGTTTGTCTCTTCTGTGTGTCTGTTTGTGTGTCGGGTGTGTGTGTGTCTGTGTGTGTGTGTCTGTGTGTGTCTTTGTGTGTGTGTCGGGTGGTATGTAGTCCCTAAGACACAGGACGAGCCTCAGTCGATCCATATTCAATTGACTTTGTTTTTATTGCAACCATCTGAGAAACAAGCAGCTCTACACAAGCCTCCTGGGTTTACAAGCCTCAGTCCTGGGTACACAGCATCTCAGTCCGGGGTCATACTAAGCAGCTCAGTCCTGGGCGTCTCTAGCAGCTCGGTCCTGGAGGTCTACAGCACGCAGTTACTGGTAGTGTCTACTTCAGCTCCAGTCCCTCTGGGTCTACCAGCTCTCAGTCCTGGAGGCGACAGTCGCGTAGGCCTGGTTACGTCTACTTCAGCCTCAGGCTAGGTTCTCAGCCACAGTCCTGGGTCATACTAGCCTCCAGTCCAGGGCTCGGCGTTACAGTCCCAGGTCCCGGGTCTAACAGTGTACGTAAGGAACTGCTTTACTAGTATATAGCGCCGATTCACAGACCAGAACAGTCTCAAAATGCGGTTTTACAATTGTTATTTTTGGGCACTTGTCCTCTCACTCCACACAGAGATGGGAGCAGGGTGGTGAGTCCGAACAGGAGGCGCAGGCACCAGACCTATTGTACATTTTTTTCAGTGGATAGGGGGAAAACAACGGTGTTGGCACCCGGAGGAGAATCCGTACGCAGACATACGCCTGGTGCTGAACATGCAAATCGCCACTCAGAAAGGCCTCTAGGGGCCTGGTGGACCCGTGATTCGAACCTGGACTCTTGCTTGCTAGATGTGTGCGTTGGTCAGGAGTGCTATCCATCAGCCTACACGTTTCTCCCCACCCGGACAGCCTGTCGCTAGTCCCGGGGGGTCTACCAAGCCCAAGTCATGGGGTTTCTATTGCACAGCTCTTCAGTCCGTGTTTGTGTTCTACTAGCCTATCAGTTTCCTGCGGTGCTCAGCCTCAGTCTGGGTCGACAGTTGCAGTCCGGGGGCTTCAGCAGTTTTTAGGGATAAGAATACTGTTCTTGGGAGGGACGGAGGGTTTTCTAGTCCTGACTGTGGATTTTACAGCAGTGTTCTCCTGCCTGAGGGGATTGGATGTTTGGTTGGAATTAGGTCTTAAGTGGCAGGTGGATGAGTTGTGGAGTGGATTGGTAATTATAGGTCTCATTTGAGGAGTGAGAGGAGGGGAGATTGTTAGTGGTTGAATAGTCCTATGGTTGCAAAGGTGAGAGAGGGGAGTGAGGATGTTGGGTATAGGTCCATGTGCTGGGGTAGAGGGGAAGAGTTGTCGGATTGGATAGAGTCCATGTAGCAGGTTGAGGGAGGGGATGTGTGTCCTGTAAGAGTCCAGGTGCAGGTGAGGAGGGGAAGGGGTTTTGTTTATGTTAGTGAGTGGGAATTTTATAGTCATGTGGCAGCGTGATGTTGTAGGGAGATAGTGGTTGGAATAGTCAATCTGCAGGTGAGTGGGGATAGGGGTGTGGGTATAGTCCAGGTTTGAATGGTGGGAGAGTGGGAGTGTGGGTGGAATAGTTCCATGTGAAGGTTGGGAGTGGGGGTCGGCGGTGATGCATCGAACGACTGCCTTGCGACACCTACCGGCGATGGCATTCATTTTCGTGTGCTTCAGTAACGTTACAGGGCCTGCAGCCGGATGGGGTGTGGACGGTCTGGGAATTTGCGATCCACGTCCCGTCTGCAGGATGATTGCACAATGCACTGTAGTTCTCTGTTGTGTCCAGTTGAACTTGTGGCGTCCCAGCAAACCACACCTGGTGTGTGGGGTGAGGGGATATGGAGGACGTGGGTGTATGGTAGGAATTGCGTGATGAGAGGTTGGATCGGGAGGATTTATGAGGGATGAGGAGGTTGTATCGTGAGGAATGGTGATGGTGGAGGTGATGGTGGAGGTGTGTGGATGGGGGGGAAGGGAGGATGGTTGGTGATGGAGGAGTTGAGGTGTCGGAGTGATGGAGGGAATGTAGTGTGTGAGAGTTGTTGGAGGTGAGGAAGTGATGTGGTAGGGTTTAGGGGCATGGAGGATGGTGATGGAGTAGGATGTGGTTTTGATGCAGGAAGGTCTGATTTCGATGGTGTTGTGACTTGTGATGGATCGCTGTATGGAGGATGGGGTGATGGGATGCAGAGTGATGGAATGGAGGAGGAGCTGCTGATATGATGGAGGTGATGCTGTGGAGGTGGGGGAGGAGAGTGGTTGTGAGGAGGAGTGTGATCGATGTGAGGGATTGTCGTGTGGAAGGAGGTGAAGAGGAGGTTTGAGGTGATGTGATAGGAGGTGATAGGATGGGAGGTGGAGCGTAGGAGGTGGGAGTAGGAGCAAACGGGGTTGGCAGGAGGAGGTGGGTTGGGTATGATTGGCGAAGGAGGTTTATGATGTGAGGAGTGATAGAGGAATTTAATTTTGATTAGTTTTAATTGAGTTTTGATGGAGGATGGTTGTTGGAGGACGTGTGATGTAAGGAGGTGATGGAGTACTGTTCAAGGTGTTGGTGGTGGAGGAGGTTTGATGGAAAGGAGGTGGATTGTGGGGAGGAGTGGTGTATTGAGGACTGGTGATGTATGTGGTGCGGACTGGATGGGGAGAGGTGGGAGGATGGTTTTTTTCATGAGGTGGTGGGATGGTTCAGGTTGTTGGAAAGGATGTGGATTGGTTGATGGTAGATGAGAATGATGGTAGGAGACGTGGAGTGTATGAGAGTAGGTGTATGGAGGAGATGTTTGTGGATTGCATGGTAGGTGATTGTTGATTGGACGAGGTGATGGGGAGGCAGGTGTCAAAATCGGGGCAGGAAGTCATCCTTGAGGTAGTGTGCGCGCTGCTTGAATTGTTTGGGGCGAATGGCTCGCGCCCACTTCGCGTGAGTTGGGTCGCTGTGTTGATTGGATGGTGTGCCCAGGAAACAGGAATGGAGAACGCTCCACAGAGTGGTTCTGTGATGAGTGGGGAGTCCATGCACCGGATCCGTGGGGAGGCATGGTTGTTGGTGGACAGGGCGCGTCCCTAAAGTCACATCAATCATCTCCTCTGTCCTTATGGGCGTTCTTAGCTCCAATGGTTGGTCATCACAACTGCACCAGGACACCTGCCAGTCCACCTCTCCTCTGGAGGTTGACACCTGGACACCAGCCGGTCACCTCATGGTGGATTGTGACACAGGACACCTGTTCCGGACACCTCCCGCCGGTAGGAGACACCAGGGAGCTTCAAGTCTCGGTCCACCGCTCTCCTGTAGTGGATGGGACACCAGGACTTAGCACAGCCTGGTACACCTCCCTTCTTGTAGGTTTGACTCCAGGTACTCAGCTCCGGCCACCTCCCTCCTGGATGTGAGCACACCAGGACACCAGCACAGGGCCACCTCCCTCCTGTAGGGCGGGTGAGCGTTCTCATCGTGGTTGTGAGATGAGTCCAAGGAGGGGGTTTTGGTGGTGGCTGGCCGGCGAACTTGAGCAAGATTCACGAGAGGCGGGGCGGGGTGGGTGCCATCTGTGGGGTGGGGGTAAGGGGCTGATAGAGCAAGGTGTGAGAGTAGAAATCAGCCAGGGGTGCATTGGGAGAAGGGAGTAGAGTAGCGAGTTGGTAGTCCCGAGATCACTGGCGCCCAGACGCTTCGCGCTGAGCACGGTCGTCAGGGTCCATTGGCAGGGTGTGGTGCTAGTCGGTAGCACTCCTGCAGTCGTGCTATTTGCTGGCAACTCCACGTTGCCCTTCGAATCTGTTTTTGCTTTCTCGTTGAGACTGGAAGGTGTATTGTCCTGTAGCTAGGATGAGGGCAGGATGGTGGTGATTGCGAGAAGCAAGTGTCCATCGTAATAGGAACTAACGGGCGACGTAGGTTCAAGGGCACCGGGGTGGGAATTGGGTAGTTGAATGGCAGACTGGACATCGCTTTCTTTTCTTCTTTAGGTATCCCAGGTGCGGGTAGAGAGTGTGGGGGAGCTGCCAGGGCTTATGGGCAGGTCGTCTACAGATACTTGTTGGCTCGGGATTATGGCTGAACGCAGGGGGGTCAGACGTTGGGTGGAGATGAGGTCGTGTACTGCAGGGGGTCACAGGTGTGGGAGGGGCGTTGATACTGCAGGGGGGATTCCAGGAATATGGGGGGAGGTGAAGTCGAACGTGACGTGCGGCGAGATAGAACCAGCGTCAAATGATCGTCATCGTCGTAAGACGTAAGGGCTTCAGGTCTGTAGTCGTTGAGGTCCTGTGATCATTGGGGCTTTCATTCGGTACGGGGACTGAATGATGTTGAGGGATTTTTGAAGTCAGGGTGACAGGCATGTAAAGGGAGGCTTTGTGCAGAGGAGGTGATCGGTGTGTAATTAAGGTTCCTGTGATATGGAAACTGTGAGGGGGAAGCTCAATCTGGGCAAGTGGTGGCCTACAGACGTTTTGAGAGTGGGCGGTGATTCATAAGGGGTCCGGGCCAGGAGTTGGCGGGTGGTGAAGGTAGATAATGGTTGGCTTGGACGCTGGTTGTGGGGGGGATTAAGCGGGAGTAGGCGTGTGGCGGTAGGGGGTGGTCTGCATGGGTTGGGGCGGTAGAGTCTCAGTGTGCTTTTTATTAGGTGAGAGGGCTCTTTGTTTTTGTGTGTGTTTGGGATGATGTTGTAGAACGGTCGTTTGTCAGGGGGCAATGCATCTAAGCGTCTGAAAAATTAAAGTCTCAGGACTTATAGGAGCGGTTACTTTCTCTGGTTACTGGTCTGGTTGCTGCAGCTGGTATAGATGTCCCAACCTATGGAGAACACATCTGGTGCTGATGTATGGTTGTTTATGTTTGAATAACTGGTGGATGACGTGGTCGGATTTTGTTATAATGTTAGCCACAGCAGCCTATGCATCGGGTCTGGATTCCTGCGTCTGATGGTTTATATCTCCCCTTCTTTTGATTGGCCGGGTATCACATCAGTTGTTCTGAGAATGTTGAATCTAGCTCTGGAAGTGCTATGCCTTATGCAATTAAGTATCTGCATCTGTCTCGCTCGAGTGTATTCTGAACCAGATTGACAAGAACCAGGACAGATACAGGCGGACAAGCAGCTGCGGAGGATTTTAAATATAAAAACAAAGGTTTGTTTTAAAATTTCGTGTGTTGTATACTTTAAGATGGGTCGTGATAAGGTCATTACTCACAAATCATTAGACGGTTGTTTGCGTGAGTCCCATAAAGTCGTGTTGAAAGGATGTGTCTTCAATAGGGGGTTGGCTATCAATCAATATCATGCATGTACATAGTTGTGTCTACTTGGTGCAAATTATTAGGTGAAAATGTTAATAATTTCTGCCTAATAACAGTCGGAAGGATCCCCAGGCACACATTGGTCGTGGGCGACTCGGTTAGTTCTTCATTTGAATTTTGAATCTGAGCGCCATACACTGGCGAGGGCTAGTGAATAGACATGATCGTATTGCAAGCAAGTCATGACTGTCGGAAGCATGACCTGTAGTCGGATAGCAAGACGGACGTCTGAACCCCATAGATCCATGACTGTCTGAAGCCATAGTACCTGAGTTCTGAACCTAAGACCTGACGTCTGAAGTCTTAAGACTTTGTCATGACGGCCTGAAGAAAGTCTATGTCGTATGAAGACAGATGACGCTTAGTCTGAACCAAGACTCTGGACTGTCTGAAACCCTCATCTAGACCCTGTAAGTCTGATAGCAGACCGGTTACATCTTGAATTCCGCAAGACCTGACCGTCTGAACCGAAGAAGGTTCTCTGTAAGTTCTGAAGCAAGACCTTGACGTCATGAAGGCAAGACCTGTTGCTGTTCTAGAAACAGACTGGATTTGAACGTCTGAAGCATGACTTTGAAATGTCTGTTGCAAGCAATGTCAGTATGTAGATAGAACAATGATATCGTATGAAAAGTCTTGAACCTGTCGGTCTGAACCTAAAGTTAGCGCTGAGCGTCTGCTGATGCTTTATAGTTATCTTTTAATGTCATGACAAGACATAGTAGTCTGACGTCTGATGCAAGACCTGGACGTCTGATCAATAGAACCTGACGTTGATAGCTCTGAAGACCCTTGACTGTAGTGGATATGCAGGAAGACTCATGACGTATGAATGACATGACCATTGAAGTCGGAAGAATTGATTGACGGTCTGAAGCATGACCCTGACGTCTGAAGCATGACTCTGGACTTGTCTGAAGAAAGACTAGTACGTCTGAAGCATAGACATGACGTTCTGAAGCTTAAGTTGACTGCATGATCGTCGGAAGCACAATGTAATACACCTGAAGTAGATGCATGACCTGACATATCTGATGCATTAGACATGACGTCGTATAGCATTGGTTACCTGTCGTCGGATAGCCCCCACCGGCACCAGAGCATGGGAATCGGCCCAGTGGCGGCGTTCACGCCTCCTGCTTACAGTACTCAAGCGGCACCTCCGACCATTGAGAGAGAATGATTTGAGCGACAGGATTTGTTGAGTTGGTAGTGAACGGTAAGCTTTTTTCTAGTGTTTTTTCCGAGGAGGCTGGGGGATTACAGAGTGAGTGTGAAGGAGAGAGAACCACTTTATGGCCACGATCACATGGTGGTTTTTTATCCCCCCCCCCCCCCCCCCCCCCCCCCCCCCCCCCCCCCCCCCCCCCCCCCCCCCCCCCCCCCCCCCCCCCACCCCTCACCACTTCCCAAATGGCAGCCTATTATTGGCCCGGGAACCTCGGCCAACAGGGGGTGTTGAGGAAGTATGTTGGTGTATGGTTGGGGTGGTGGTGGTGAAATGTACAGGCAAGATCGGGCATAATGGGTATATTTTAGCGACTTACTCGTGCTTACAGACCAACGGTGCTAGGGTGTGATTATGTTGTCTGTGGTCGCAGCGGTGGTGGCGAGTCGTTAGTATACGAACCGAAGCGGAGGTCTTCGACCGCGGGATTGGGCGCGAGGTGGTAGGGAACTTGGATCAGTCCCGGTGGGACGGGCTTGGCGTGGGATGCTGGGTTTGCCTCTGGAGCATGTTATCAGCCGTTCTGTATCAGTACTCGCATGTTTAGTGTTTTTATAAAGACAATTTATTGACTGTTATTTGGGATATGATTTTTTGTCAGGGGCAAACACTACATTGCTCTGATGCAAGTGGAAGCAGTTCCAGTGTGGGGTAACATGTGTGTTGTGGGTGTGGTGTGTGTGTGTGTGTGTTTTGGTGGTGGGTGCGTGTGTGTGTTGTGTTTTGTGGTGGTGTTTTTTTGGTTTTTGGTGTGTGGTGTTTTTTTGGTTGTGTTTTTTGTCGTGTGTTTGCTTGTCTGGTGTGTTTTTTGGTGGTGTTTGTGTGTGGTGTTTTGGTTTTTGTGTGTAAGGTGTGTTCTGGCGATTAAATAAAGGATCTGCTACAATGAGAAGGAAGAGAGAGGAGGAGGGGTAGGGGTAGGAGGTTTACATTGTAAACAAAACAGCAGGGGGGAGGGGGGGGGGGGGGGGGGGGGGGGGGTGGAGGGGGGGAGGGGGGGGGGGGAATGGGGGAGGGGGGGATGGGGGTGGGAAAACCTACATAGTTCTTTGCAGGAGATGACACCGTTCTGGGATCGTCGGGCCGTCGTGTGGTGATGAAAAGCCCCAAAGGAGGGAAGAAGCCGTAATGTGACGCACAAATACCAAGGTCCACACCTCACCCCCCCCACTCCCCACCACCCTCCACAAACTGACCCCCTCATATGGAGCTTTGCAAAGCCGGGGCCCTGGCCCCCCCCCCCCAGCTCTCCCAACAGTGTCAGGTCCAGTTTCCGCGGGTCACATGGCACCTACTGCAATCGATCTAATTCCTTCGGTAAAAAAGGTTAAAGTATAATAAATAAAAGGCCGCAGTTGATTAATAAACCTGTTGACTGCTGGTCAAAAGTTTAAAATTTCACTGGTCTGTGCAACGCGATGTTAGGTTGTTTTAAGCTGTGGGACGTTAGTTCACTCACAGGGCCCACATCCACTGTATGTGTGGTGAGATTCTTCTGACGTTGAATCTGGTGTTGTAGGGGCCACTATGTGTTTTTACGCGTCTGTTGGGAGAGAGATAGCTGGACATGTCGAGGTTGGGCATTGTCCAAACTGGAAAAAGCTGTTCACAATTCGTTTTCAAAGTCTGCAAATAAGGAACTGGGCACTAGGAGCACAGGTATTATTGCTTAGGAGTTTCTGCGTTTGTTAACTGTAGTTCATATATGTTATTATAGGTAGGTCCTGGGGGGTTTTGGGGGTCGTGACGTTACTCAGGCGGATTTGTCATGCCCGTATGAGCTACCAGGTGGACTCAGCACCTTTCACCTTCATTTGTAGGGGGGGAGGGTATGTTATGTAATGACAAGGGGGTATTGTACACCAGTGAAATTGCCATATGTGGCCATGCGGTCAGAGCCCGCGTGGGGATAGTAATGATATGTCAGGTGGTATGTGGTGGAAAGGTTAGGTTCTGGTGGCTGAGGAGCGAATGGAGTTCAGTGAAGTATCCTGCTTAAAGGCAGACAGGTCTGCTCTGATGCTGGCGGCCTGCAAGCTTGAGTGATTCATAAAGCATGTCTGGGATGTGGTCTAAGGAAATTGTTTCGAAGGATGTGTTTGGCAGATAGGTTTGGTTTCACCGGCGTGTGATATTGAGTTACTGTAATACTTTGTTACGCTGGGGGGTGTGATTGCGGTACGTGTTCGGGTGCACACTTGGGCGCATCCTTAGCCACGTGTTATTCAATGAGGTTTTACTGGAAAAGGTCCAATAAACTGTTACATATATAAATAGTTATTGGTTAAAAGGTAAAGGTTGCCTGATTGCCACGGGGCGGTTTAGTCCCAAGGAGCATGTTTTGTATGTGTTTAGCGTGTGGTGATTGAACCGGAGCAAGCACCCGGAGGGGGAAACTGGGGGGATTTCATTTGTTGAAATCTTGCATTTACGACAAAAAGGGAAAGGCCTGGATGATTGGGGGGATGTTACAAGTTACAGCATGGATCCTTACTTTCTGTGGTAAACAAGCCTTTCTATCCTCTGACCATTGAGAGTTGGGGGCGTTAAGAGATAAAGTTGTTTGTGGTTTAGAGTTAAAGTAATGTTAGGGGCTAGTATGGAGTTTAGTGGAGGAGTAGAGTTAGGATTGGGCTGTTGGGTGGGTTTTGGAGAGTAGTAGTAGGGAGAGCTAAAGTTGAGTGAAGCTAAGGAGGGAATCAGGTGTTGGGGCAAGGTAGGGGGTGGGTGAAACAGGGCGACAGTTGCTTGTTGACGTTATTACTCGAGGCACAGCAGTCAAGACAAGTTGAGCTGATGCTTAGAACTTTGACATGAAGCAGTATACTGAGGGGTTCACAGTTGGGGGTTTTTTTTCGTCATGTCTATTTAATGCATGAGCGAGGGTGACTGAGTTCTATGAATTTGTTTGAAGGCGGAGTGGGCTAACCAGCACTCAGGGACATGTTGTGGAATGAGCGGCGGGTCGGCGAGTAAGCCTGGAGCTCAGGTTGTGGTGATGACCCGGCGACCCAAGGTATACGGTGGGAAACAACCTCGGCTATGTTTCTGTCACGAGCAACGAGCAGACATGTGCAGTGGGGTATACACTTTAAAGTCATGGGGAGGTAAAATGGATGTGGTATGTAGGCACACGTGTCAAGGGACATTTTGCTCCGGTGTTTAATGGGCAAAGAGTGTTGTTTCTGAAGAACACACAAAGAGGGGGTAATTGGTGATGGGGTGGGGGTAGGCGTGCTGGAGGTGGTTTATGCGCACGTTGTAATCCTAATATGTGTTTCATGGGGACACTGGGATAAAGACACCCCCCCCACCATTAACGTTAGAAGGAGGTTGGGGGTTGGGTAAAATGGCGACAAAATAGCTAAGTTGGGGGGTAGATTTTGACTTATAAACGCATGGTCTGTAATACTGACTGTGAGGTGGGAGGGGCTGTATGTGAGGTTGCGGATCTAGCTTGCTGGCGGATGGACAGTGATATGTAGTGTTGGGGTCGGCAACTTTGCATGCTTGACAGTGGAGCAGGATGTGGGTATTGAGTATGTCTGGGCATGGCGATGCACATGGGGACCTTATGTGGATGGGTCAGGGTGAGGTACACTGACGGACCTCTGATACCTTGCCTCCTCCAGCATACACCTGCAAGAGCATAGGACCGCGTTCATACAGGGCTGAGGCATGCATCCTTGTCCTCGTCTGGTCGTTAGTTCTGGAGGGTTAATGACTCCGGTCCTCGCCAGTGCCGTAAGGGTATGGGAGTGCCGGCATCAACGGTCTTCATGAAGTGGTACGGACTGTACTGTGGTATGGCAGGCAGGACGAGTGTGAGAATAGGGCTCGGAGCGCAGTAGCATGACGCGTTGCGTCTTTGTCGGAGTCACTGCATACCTGGCTTTGCTGGCCAGGCAGACATGTGAGGCACCAGTAAATCTGCTCTAGGTAGGCTTCTTAGAATAACAGTGGGATGGGAAATACTGGGAAGTTCAGAAGGGGTGTTTTTAAAACTACGAAATAATGGTGTAGGGATGTGGTAAAAGGAGGGTATGTGATAAGTGGGGCGGTCATGTGAACTGTGATTTATTAAAGCTCCTCAGCGTGTTGTTGGAGAGAGAAATGATGGGGATGTGGGAGATATGATGATTATTTGGTAGGTGAAGAGTGGGAGGATGATAGTGAGAAGGTAATTTGACTAAGTTAAATACCTGCGGATGTAATTACCTTTTCATATCACACACTGTTGCCAGGAGAAGCGGGGCTTCAGAAGGGTGTCGTTAAACTGGGTTTTTCGACAGCTCGGGTCTTAATAACTCTGTCGGGCGCAGCATGCCGTGTTGAAGAATACGGCATGGTCGTCGAAGGACTGGGCCTGGACCAAAGGCGCGGGGGGGACATATTGTAACTCGATAAGACAATTATATTATTGACTTATTGAAATGCTTTATTATGTAAACCAGCGAGGTCAGTGACACTCAGTGTGGCCGACGCGGGGGCAGGAGATTGTAGTGATCGGAGGAGGGTGCGCCGGGTGGTGGGGCGGACAGCTGGCAAGCAATGGTTATTAACAAGCTAGGGACACTACTGCTCGGGAATCAAATTGCTAGGGTGTTCTAAGCAAGGGATATATCACAGAACAGGGTCTACAGTGTTATCGGGATTATAATGCTTCGGGTCACATGCTCGGTGTCACACAGCTACAGGGTCAACCACACTTCACAACGGTGTCACAATGATATGGTCTACAGCACACGGGACCACCACAGACTGTATACACCTGCTGTACACCCAGAACTGTACTTACATCTGCACTTTCTATCCAGCCTACTTTCTCACTGCTCTGGTTGTCACTCAAGCACTTTTACACCAGCCACTTGGCTCCTGCTATTTAAACCAAGACACTATTTCAAACCAGCAAGTTACACACCAGCAATTTATACACCAGCAACTTTTTACCAGCTACTTTGGAACCTAGATTCCCCCCCCCCCCCCCCCCCCCCCCCCCCCCCCCTTCCCTTAGATCCTCCCCAATATATGAACACTTTTATACCAGCTCGGTATAACCAGCACTTTTTTACACACACAACGTGACTCACAGCACGTTGCACCAAGCCACTGTGACACATTAAAATGCTCGGGATACCTCAATATACTGTACACCATGATCTTTACCACACTGTAGTGGATAACAAGCATCGGGGCATCCTGCACTTGAAGAACAGCTACTTGATACCAGCACTGTACACACCAACACTTTGTAGTCAATTTTTTAGTTTACATACAGCTCTGGTATCGTCCAGCACGGTAAAACTGCACTTTACACAGCTAAATATATAGAAGCTCTTGTTTTCAGTGAGTTGTTATAAATTTAGTTAATAACTCTTGTGAATGTGTAACGGTGGAACATGAATCCAGATCTGTGTTCAGAAGCATGCAGTGATTATATGTGTCAATAGAGGTCTGGGTAACAGTCTGAGCATGCGGGAGTGCAGATGATGTGGCCTTCGAAACTTTGGTGTTGAGGAATTATGTCGGTGACGAGATAAGGTAAGCACGCAGTGTGGCTACGGGCTAGATATGGTGTCATCACGGAATGGCTAGTTATAAATTATAAAACATTTTAGTGTCACGAATGATTGGAGTTTCTGGGGAATTTACACGAATGTACTATGTACTTGTAGGTTGTTCTGTGTCGGTTGGTGGGTACATGTGGTTGTACGGTTGCGGGAAATGTACGTGAGTCCCAGGATGATGAGCTGTTGACCCAGGTCGGTTGGAGGGTAGACATGGACTGACAGGCAGGTTGGATCCCAGGACTGCAGACGGTTGTACAAGGTCGGAGCGTGTTTGTGTTGTGTGTATTGTTCGGTGGTCGTTTGGAAGGTGTTGGCGGGTTTGTGCGTGTGCTTCTTGGGGGCCCTATCTTTTGTGTTGTCGAGGGTCTTGGGTTGGAGGCAAGGACCGTGTTGCGGTGCGGGTGTTTTGTTTATATTTGGGCTTCGGGTAGGGTCGGGTCGGCGTGGTTGGGCGGTTTTTGTTTGTGTTTTGGTTTTTGTTAGATCCTAGGACTGAGGGATTTAGACTCCCAGGACTGAGAGGTCTGGTGACCTCAGGACTGAGGTGTAGACTCCCAGTGACTGTGGTCTGTAGTCTAAGGTTCTAAAGTGCTATGCCCCTAAAACCGACTAACCCGCTATGTATTTGGGTCTTTGGAGTTCATTTTAAGTTGATTATGAAACAAAGAATATCTCGCTTGTGAGAAAACTAAAATACATAACATTGAGTTAAGTCCAGAATCTGTTTGTACCGCAGCTTGATTTCTTCACCGTCTGAATAATTACATCAGAAAAACACATTTGCAAATTGCACGAGAACACATTTTAATATAAATTATCAGACTCCAGCTCACTCCCACCATCGGATTGAACCAGGACTGAGCCTGGGAATGAGACAGGACCTGAGCCGGATCTGAGTCCGGATATGGAACCAGGAGAGAACCACGGAGATGAACAAGATCTCTGGTAGGAGAAACTGCTCCCCTGGGACTGAGCCAGGACTGTGCAGAGGACTGAGCTCGGGACTGAACTCAGGAAGAACCTAGAGTATGAACCAGAGATGAACATAGTGGACTGAGCCAGACATAAGCCACAGCACTAACACACACGTACTCCATCAATCACAACAACATCATCCACGCACACACACACAAACACACACACTACTACACACACAGTGCAGGAGGCCTAGTTGTAGTCGTGAAGGGCGGAGTTACATGTCCGTTGCCAGAGTTCCTGATGCTCTTTTTTCAGCGATTGGATGAGAGCTAAAACCAACTTCTCAGGTGTCTGTGTGTTGTGGATAGGACAATATTGGAAAAGGTTGTTGAAAAGCTGGAAAGTTATTTTTGCAGAGCTCTCTGTCTGACTTGCTGAGAAATCTAGATCGCTGAAAATTTGTCACGCTGAGCTACTTCCATCTGATGTCTTCTCTCCTCGTCTCCCCTCTTTGGCAGGATCAGAGATGTGAATGAAAAATGTGCAAAAAAACAATGAAAAAAGATATGTATGACAAAAGAATCTCGACAATTTGTGTGATGGATTTGTAAATAAATCCTAGAAACTATGTTGTTCATTTCATCATTTCATCTCAGTTCCAGTTTTTATCCTGCGATTCTTGAAACTGAGTCCTGATGACCTGTTTTGTGAGATGCTCCCATAATGCTTTTGCAGGAACTATCTGCAAAATTTATACTTCTCTTGGTCTCTCTCTGTCACTCTCTGGTCTCTCTCTGGTATCTCTCTGGTCTCCTCTTGGTCTCTCTCTGGTTCTCTCTTGGTCTCTCTGGTTCTTCTCTGGTCTCTCTTGGTCTCTCTTGGTCATCTATCTGGTCTCTCTCTGGTCCTCTATGGTCTCCTTGGTCTCTCTCTGGTCTCTCTCTGGGTTCTCCACTCTGGTCTCCCTCTCTGGTCTCCCTTGTCTCTCTCTCGTCTCTCTGGTCTCTCTCTGGTCTCTCTCTTGGTCTTCTCTGGTCTCCTCTCTGGTCTCTCTTGGTCTCTCTCTGGTCTCTCTCTTCTGGTTCTCTCTGGTCTCTCTCTGGTCTCCCTCTCTGGTCTATCTCGGGTCTATCTCTGGGAGTCTGTGAGGCGGCTGGGCGGGTGGTTGGGGGTTCGAAGGTGTGGTATAAAGTTCTCGCGATATGGCCTAAGCTCCGTTGTTGTTGTTTTGAGGAGATGATTCTGTAAAAAACATATATTTGAAAAACACAAACCACACAAACCGAATCACAAGGGACCAGAGATGTGGGGGATTTTTAGATTTGGCGATAGATAGCATCGATGATGGAGAGTAATGTGGTGCGATATGTTGGATAGATCCATGTAGATGGACCTGGAGAGGATGAGGACCAGAGAGGTTTTCGTGATGATCTCAGAGAGGACCAGAGAGTAACGGTGAAGAGACCAGAGACGCGGGTAGATGACCAAAGAAAGACCAGAGAAGGGAGTTGTGTGAGACCACCCAGATTTTTCGTATTTGGAGGTGGACCAGAGGAGTGAGAGACCAGAGTTATGGATTGATGTGAGCAGGACAAGAGAGACCCAGAGATAGGAGAGACCGGGGAGTACCCGGGAGGACCAGGAGAGGGGGAGGGATAGTGTGTCGGGGATCTTTGTGAGTTATTACCAGTAGAGACATAGAAAGACCAGTGTTTTAGATGTTTGGTGAGATGAATGTGAGGATGTGAGACCAGATGAGACCAGAGGATGAGAGTGGTAGACCAGAGAGACCTGAGATGTTTTGATGACCAGGGAGACCAGAGAAGAGACACAGAGAGCGAGACCAGAGAGGACCATAGAGTGATGAACTAGTGTACGAGACCAGAGAGTCCTGAGTTTAATTGGAGAAGGGTTACTGTGGTATTTTTGTGACCAGAGAAGTATAAGTGTAGTTAATTGGTGCATGAGGAGTAGGTACATGCTATGCTGGGCGTGAGTCGCGACTGTTGTTACTAACCTCAGGACCTCAGTTTCAAACGTAAATCGAGGATTTATAAACGGGATATACTGTAGATATGGAATGAGTGATAATGAAAAATCGGGTTCCTAGGATTTGATTACAAATCCATATCAAATTTGTCTTGGGTACTTTTATTTGGCTTTTTTCTTTTTTTAGGGGGGTTTGCACATTTTTTCATTTTCTACTATGATTTCCCCTGCCGAGGTGTGAGAGACCATCAGTATGGAAGTTGTCTGCGTTTGTCGAGGGTTTTTGTCTGCGATTCTGAATTTCAGCAGCGTCCGACTTTTAGGTGCTCTTGCCAAAATATTGTCTTCAGCTTTTTGTTTAAACCATTGGTTACAATTTTGTCCTTCCTCTTAACACAGACCTTGTTGGAGTGGGTTTTAGCTCCAGCCATGCTGTGAAATTTCAGGATTACTTCGGGACAACAGGACATGTATACTCCGCTCCCTTCTGTCTAAGGGACTCCTGCACTGCTGTGTTGATGTGTGTGTGTGGTTGTGTGTGTGTGTTTGTGCGGGTTGTGTGTTTTGTGTGGGTGTGTTGTTTCGTTGTTGGGTTGTGTGTGGCGGTGGCTCAGGGCTCAGGGCACGGGGTCGCTTGTTTCGGGGGCTGTAGACCTGGTTTCTCTCCGGGTTTCAGTCCCGGTCGCTAGTCGCCGGCTACCTGGCACCTGGTTTTCTCAGTTCTTTTGGGTCTTCTAATGGGTCTCTCCTGGTTCTCTCCCTGGGTTCTGGCCCACGGCTCATGGCCCGGCGCAGTCCGGGCTCAGTCCAGGCGCAGTCATGGTTACTCAGAATTATTATGTAGGTGGGTGAATTTGTGAGCTGAGAGCTATTTAATTTGTATTCAATAATGCTGTTTTGTGTTCAATGTGCATATACATGTGGTTTTTTCTGATTTGTTTAATTATTCTAGACGCCCCCCCCGTTTCTCGATATCAGTTTTTTGGTGGGTTGGTGGTGGTTGTGGCTTGGGTTGAGGATTGAAGGGTGAAGAATTGATATCTGCTGTTCGGGATTCAAACTTTGGGTATTTGGTTTGAACTACTTTTAGGTTAGGGATTGTGTATTTGCTCACAGCGAGGATTCTTTTGCTTTGTGTCGTGACACAAATAACATGAGGGTTAGTGGGGTGTGTGTTATAGTGGGCTTACATTTGCACCTTTTAGTCCTGAGGTGTTGTCGACAGCAGTCAGTCCTGGGGGTGTGTTTTTGTGACAGCACGCAGTCCTGGGTTTGGCTACTGCCGCTGGTCAAGGGGTACTAGCCGCAGTACCGGGTATCTACAGTGCCGCAGGACGGGTGTCTAACGGCGAAGTACATGGGGTGCGACAAGCCCTCAGGCCGGGGGACTTCAGCGCCGCAGTCATGGGTACGTCTTGCCTGTCAGTGCCGGGCGAGGTGGTGTACGTACTGACATGAACAATGTTTTATTACAGTTTCAGTACTTCGGACTGTAATTCAGTAGTACATGTATGGTGTAGTCAACCAACCCGTCTTTTAGTGAAATATAAAAATATAAATAAGGGGTTGGTTAAATGAATTTTATGTGTGGGAATCATGATATGACCGTGTTAGCACTTCGGTGGCGGACCTGTATCAGAATGTTTCAAATTGTGTCGGAAAGCTCCTTCTGAACCCATTGGCTCGGACTGTTACCACTGACATGAGTGGACACGTATAATTCACTGCAATCTTCTGAACAGTAGATCTGGTTTCATGTTCCAAAGTTTCAGAGTCATAGAGTTTTTTACTGTTTTATTCTCACGGACAAAATGAGCTTCTTATTTTAGCTGGTGTATTAAAGTGCTGGTGTTAAAGTGTTCTGTTTGCCGTTAAAGTGTGGTGTTAAAAAGTGTTGTTGTGTAAAAGTGCTGGTATGTATAGTAGTGTGTTGTTGAAGTTGCTGTTTTGGCAAAAGTGTGGTGCAAAAGTGCTGTGTAAAGTGTGGTGTTAAAGTGCTGTGTTTTTAATAAAGTGGCTGTTGTAAAGTTGCTGTAGTAAAGTGCTCTGGTGTCTGTAGGTAAGTGCTATGTAAACGTGCTGTGTGTATAAGTTTGATGGTAGTAAAGTGCTGCTGTTCAAAGTTGCTGTAGTAAAGTGTTCTGGTAAGTTGCTGTAGTAATGTGCGGTGTAAAGTGCTGGTGTAAAGTGCTGTGGTAAGTGCTGTGAGTGTTGCTGTAGTAAAGTTTTTTTTTTGCTGTACGTTAAATTTGGGCTGTTAGTAAGGGATGGTGTAAGTTGCTGTTGTAAATGTGCTGTAGTAAAGTGCTGTAGTAAAGTGCTGTTGTAAAGTGCTGTAGTAAAGGTGCTGTTGTAAAGTGCTGTTGTAAAGTGCTGTTGTAAAGTGCTGTTGTAAAGTGCTGTAGTAAAGTGCTGTAGTAAAGTGCTGTTGTAAGGTGCTGTTGTAAAGTCCGGGTGTAACGTTAGTGCTGGTGTCAAGGTGCTGTGTTTAGGTAAAGTGCTGGTTGTAAGTTGTGGTTTCAGTGCTTTGCAGGGAGGAGGACGACCTTCACGTGAGATTGTTTTTAAAAGCAGAGATCATGAAGACCCCACAGAGGCCAGTGGTGATCGTCAGTCGATGGGTTGCCACCGAGTCGTTTGGTACAGGCCCTGTCCTTCGAAGACCAGGTCAGTGTCTGCAGACCGGGCTTGAGACAGGGTTTTTTAAGACCAGGCTGAGACCAGTTTTAAGATCCAGGTTCTTTGGGTTTATGACCGGCTTATCCTGGTTAATCAATGTGTTCAGTGAATGGAGAAGAGAGAAGACCATCAAAAATGGGAAAAGGTTAAGGTTTTTTACAGAAGTATTGGTTAGTTTTCTTCCTCAAGTATTTTTTTTGTTGGATTTGTTGTTTTATTAAAGCACTGGGTAGTTAAGAAAACTGATCTTTCATTAATTTCTTATCCTATTACATGTTGAGTTTTTTTTTATTTTTGTTTTAGGGTTTTTTTATAACTAAATTTTGAATCTGTAACATTTTGTCAATGTCAAAGGTTTTTCTATGATATGAGGATTACGGTGAGTTTTTTTCTGCCTCTGTCTGATAGAGCGCCCAGTTGCAGTGTTTGACTCAGACTTGTATGAGACTGAAGACTAGGATAGGACTCTGACGGTTAGAACGACGGAAGCAGCAGGACTCAGATCCTTTGTTTAGTTATTTGAACTTGTGTGGAAGTGTTTTGTTCATGATCAGCTGTAGAAACTGAGGGTCAGGTGACTGGACTCAGACTGCAGAACAGTGATGTGGTTACAGGTTGCAGAGACTCTGATCTGATAGAACTGAGGATCAGCTTCTGCATGTGTAGATTGGAGGAGGCCGTGTTTCAGAGGTCACGTCGTCGCACCTGAATAACAGTCAATGGGACAAAACTGGTGAATAGCAATGTAACAGACTACAGTCAAAATCCTGATAATTTGATTGATGAATGTGATCGTCCACAAAGAAGAAGGCTATCCAATAGCAGAGATTTTTTTGTGGAGAACGATTAACCTATTAGTACTATCCCAAATACTGTTCCTTTTTAGATGGTTTGTGGAGGAGAGTTTCTTGGATTTTTTAGACCATTCTTGCTTCATGTCCCTTTTCAAACACAAACCATGGAACGTTTAGAGCCTTAGGGGAACAAAATGATTAATTTTGTTTCCATCGCGATGAGTTATAATCGACTTATAATAAAACCCACCCAATCAACTACCTCTTTGTGTGTGTGTATTATGTCTTCAGATTATATAAACTTCTTTGCCTTTATACAGTCATGAAAAGTGCATAAAATCCCACTCCAGGTTTCCTCGTCTGTTTATGATCCCTAAATGAATTGCGCTAGCTTGATGTCAGAAGAAAACAGAGAAAAGAAAGAAGAGGGTGTTCCATCCCGGGGAGACATGGGTGCATGGTAATCACTCTGAGTCTCTCAGGGTAGCGCCGTCAGCACTCTGCCCTTAAGTTCTTGTCACTGTGAGATTGTTAGGTACTTAACTCGCTCTCTTCCCTCCCTCTGCATTGGTTTGCATGACTCTGGCGAATATTCTTATATCAGAGCTGCTGAGGATGCTGCTGCGGCGGGGGGTCAACTTGTGGTATTACGCACGATGGTCAGGGATGCCCTGTTGCTCCAGTCCACAGAAGTGCACGCAGATTCTTGATTCACTCTACTGACTTTGGGCGCCACTAACTTCTAATCATACTCTACTCACCCTACCCCTATCATCTACTCTCCTATACTCTACTTTTGCCCCTTCGGTTCTTTACTCGACTCGTGTTCGACCTCCTACTCTAATTGAAGTGGTTAGAGCTTGTTTCACATTGATAAGAAGTGTTGCCTTGGGTTCGACTCCACCGCAGTGCCGTTCCCTTGTGTATGTTTCATGCATGCTTTCCATCGGTGTGTTGCTCCGGTTTCCCCGACCCATAATAACATGCTGCCTGAACATTACGCCCTGTTGGCTAATCATGGCTCCTTTACCTGTACCAGTATACTTATCTCTTTATTTACAGTTTAATTTTACGCCATTTTCAGTAATAACCTCAATTGATTACACGTGCAAGGTTCCCCAGTTGTTGCACTTCCTAGACAATAGTGACAAGGATAATATCACTAACACGACAGGAAAAAAGTAACAGAGAATACAAGAATCACAGGTGGGTTACCACGTCGATAGCAATTTATATTTTATAAAAATATATTATACAGACTGTTCGGTGCTGTTATACATTGGGCGGTAAAGGATGGGCACACAGGAGGGTCTGACGGGAGAAAAATGATGGTAGTGAAGCGTGTGGAGAATAGTGGAAGGTCTGAGGAGTTTCAGGTGAGCTGGGAGCTGTGTTGCCAGATCATGCATTGCATGCTGCAGCAGGCCGGTTAGCTTCTGCACAGGAGAGGTGAAGGATAGCAAAAACGGGAATACATGGCTTTTCGGGGCAATCTCTGGCATGAGAACCATGACCAAACCAGAGTAGGGGAGGGCTGGAGTTGGGAACAAGGCTCATTGCGGTAGAGGAGAACTAATTGGGCGGTACTAACACCTGGTACTTCATGTCAGTGGGTACTTAAGTCTGGTTGGGGGTCTCCGTGGAACAGTCCGGTGCTGAGGTGATTAACGTTAGTGGGTGCTGAGTTTGTTTGACTGGGGTCCAGCCACGTCTCGACGAGGCTTGGGATCGTCAAAGTATTCTAAGAGGATGTCTCTTTGGGGCCCATCAAGGGTGAATGTGGGACAGGGGTGGGAAAAGGGCCCCACAGTCACACAACTTCGCGTGTGCGAAGACAGTGGATGTTTTAACTTTGACAAGAGGTCTACAGTGTGTTGGGAAAAGCTTCTGCGGCTTTTGTATCCTTCTTACTCCCTTTTTTGTACCATAGGATTAGATCCGATGCTGTGTTGAAGGTGCCTTGTGACCCGCGGCAATATGGACCATGAGCTCACGGGGGGGGAGAGACTTGGGCCTTAGGGTGCAGGGACACGCTGGTGCAGTCAAGCCAAGGGTCGGGGGGTCAGTGTGGGCGGGGGAGTAGGGGGGTAATGTGTGGGAGGAGTGGTGTGGTCCAGGTGGTATGCTGGTTATGGGGCTGTCACATTACGTCGTCCCTTTGGGGCGGTTTCACACACGCGTCTTGTCGCTCTGCACTGTGTGTTTTTCTGACTTGTGTTTACAGTAAACTTTCATGTGAAGATGTTCGTTAGTTAATCGAGCGCCAGAACAAAACACACCAAAACACACACACTTCAATACACCACTTAAATGAATAAATACAACACCACACAACAGACATTACACCAATAATTTCTACACACACACACCAAATAACAACACATTACACACACACACGCACTACTCACCAAATACAACACACACGACATCTCCCCACACACATGTTTACTCCACTGTACCTGCTGCACTTTGCATCTAGAGCAATGGGGAAAAAGGTGGTGAGGTGTCTTTCCCTAAAACAATGCATGTCGGGACTATGGTGACGGTTAGAGTACGTGGCTTTGGCTAACAGCTGCCTATTGGTGCAGATACGTTATTAACTGGGACGAGAAATGGGGAATACCTAAACATCGGACAAACTGGAGGTTTGATTGCTGGTGCGGTGGTTCGTAGTGATCGCCACCGAGCTGGGACTGTAGAACTGTACTAAGCACAGTTGTTTGCTACGGTTGAGAGATTAAGCCACTGGGGTAACGGTACGGGGCCCGTCTTCACACCCGCGGGGCGGGTGTGGGCCTGGGCCACTTGGGCACAAGGTTTGGTGATGCTAATTATAATACCTCGGTGAGATTAGTGCCCCTTATATGGGGTATTCGCTCCCCAGCCGCAGAACGCGGAGCTACAGTCACATCACAATTTCATGCGGCTAAATGCGTACGCGGAATGGGCGTGAGCCGGTGGATAGGAAATGAAGGAGGGCAGTCTTGTGTGAAGCTGAGACATGGACTGTGGATCGGCCGTGTTTGTGGGTGTCAATTGCACTGTTTTCGTTTAGGGCTGCGGGCGGGCTGTTTCAGACGGCTTGGTTCTTGCGGCAGTCCGGGTCAGGTCGCTGGCTTCAGTGGTCAGGTCGGGATCTGCAGTCTCGGACGTTGGGGCGGGGCAGGTCGTAGAGACAGATGAAAATACGGGCTAGGGCGGGTCTTGTCAGTAACTGTGGAAGGTCTGGCTGTTGCAGACTGATGGGCAGAGGCTGTGCTGCTAGGATCTGTGAAGAGTGCTGGCGGCAGAAGGTCAGCGTAGGGCTGCAGACGGGTCAGGTGCGGGGTCTGATATTATTGTCAGGTCGGGCTGCAGTAGGCAGGTCATAATGTGCTTCTGGCAGACGGATGGGGCTTGCTTCAGTAGTCAGGTCTTGGTTATGAAGGGCAGGTCGTGCGTGCAGTGACGGGCAGGGCTTGGCTGGCAGACGGACAAGGGAGTGCTGGCAGAAATCGGTTGGCAGGATGGGGTCAGAACGGGGGAAGGTCGAGCTGCACAAGACGTTGTTGGCTGGGCTTGACGTGTATCTGTTCGTCAGGATCTGGCCTGCAGGTACGTCTGGGGCTTGCTTCAGACAGGTGGCTGGGGCGGGGGTGCAGTGGCTGGGAGGCGGATCGACGGCAGGGAGTAGATCTTGCAAGACGAGCGGGCGGGAGGCTAGTCTGGGCAGGTGCGGGGGGCAGATGTGTGGATGGTCGGGCGGCAGTCGTCAAGGTCGGGGGAGACGGCAGGTCTTGGTTCTAGGGACGTCAGTGACTGGTTCTTCAGACAGGCATGGGATTGTGCGGCGAGACATTAAGGAAGGTACTGGACGGGACAGACGGGCAGGGGCTTTGGGGGGCTGATACGGGGGATGGGAGTTGCTGCAGTAGTCAGGGGTCATTGGTTCCTGAGGGCAGGCGGGCGTCAGAAGGCTGGACGTGCGTTCACTGAACTGTGGCTGGGTTTGCTGGGAGACAGGGCGTGTGGGGAGGTTCTGGCTGCAGCGACACGTGGGTGTTGTTGAGCGCAATGATCCGCTTGGGGTGGTGTCAAAATTTCACATTGGAGAGGAATACTGTGGAGCCTGACTTAGGGGAGGAGGGGGTCGTAGATGGACGCACAGACGGGTTTTAGGCTAGAATAGTTTGAACTTGGAAAATAAGTTGACACCAATGGGGACAAAAAACTATGACCAGGGATATGTAGCAACACTATGGGTACACTCTATTTTATTGACCGCTTTATCAGCATATTAATAATTAGTGGATTGATGTTGAGGGGGGTGAGTTAGGGTTTGGCCTTGTTTGCGGATAAACTGTTTTAAAACAATAAGAAAAGGGGGATGCGTTTGTTTATAATAATTTGGTGGGTTTTTTTTTTGGGAAAATTTACTCGCGCAGCGGCTGTGGTCTCCTCCCCCGCAAGGGTGCGGTCTGGGGTCGGGCCGGGTGTAGGTCCTAGAGTTAGTGGATTGTTCGCTGTGGCGTGTTTCAGGGTGCAGGATCTTATATTGGCGGCTTTAGATTGCCAGAGGCTATATGTAATTGATTGTTAGGGCGATTGTGCACGTCTGTGGGTAGAATAGCCATCCTCCCCCCCCCCCCCCCCCCCCCCCCCCCCCCCCCCCCCCCAGACATTGAGTTTGGGTGTAGAGGGTTGGATAATATGCCATCATGGGCAGGATCATGAGAGCGCCTGTGGCACGTTCCGTCAGCCTCTGTGTACAGTAACACTTCTCAGCACCATGTGTCTATGTATCTATCTGTGTATATATCTATGTATTTATCTGTGTATATATCTAAGTATCTATCTGTATATATCTATGTATCTAAAGGTTTCTGTGTATATATCTATGTATCTATCTGTGTATATATCTAAGTATCTATCTGTATATATCTATGTATCTATCTGTGTATATATCTATGTATTTATCTGTGTATATATCTAAGTATCTATCTGTATATATCTATGTATCTATCTGTGTATATATCTATGTATCTATCTGTGTATATATCTATGTATTTATCTGTGTATATATCTATGTATCTATCCATCTACAGTATCGATCCATGTTCAGCCCTGTCGATCCTCCTGCAAACTCCACAGGTTTTAAAAGTATTCCTCATCTTTCCCTAGAACCTAAAACCTAAACCATTATGACATCAGTCTCCCTGGGCTCTCCCAGGACCCTCTTTCTCCAACCAGCCTCTTTTTGTTTCGAAACAGACGATTTAGGCAAAGCAACACACATCTGCGGCTTTACAGCTTAGAGCAAAGAGGAGACTAAGGCAAACCCGCCAACTGCTTTCCCACAACGGCAATAAAATATTCCATCGTATCCCTGAAGCATCCCGGACTCCAGCTGGGATCAAAGAGGATGCTTGATGACTTGAGAGAGGCAGCGCATATTAGGCACTAGTGACGGCGAACGCAGGAGCCCTTCGTTCCATTCCGTTTAGAACCATCGCAGGAAAAGATGCGAGAAAAAGAAAAATCACTCCCAATGTCTGAGTATCGAGGATCAGGGACACGCCAAGGACAATGGAAGTCACCGTCCAGAGACTATGGTGCTGTGAATGCATAAAGAAGGAAAGATATGGACCGGCCGAGGCCATGGGGGGTCCTCTAATTAAGGATGTTTCAAGTCACGATACTGTAGCTACTTTTATTATAAGGACTTATGCCCCGTTTCCACAGTAACAGTACGGCACGGCACGGCACAATTATTTTGCAATTCCACTGAGGTTGGGCTTGGGATCAGGGGTACTTTTTTTGTACCACCTCGACCGTGGTTCCATCCGCGCCGTACCGACACCATGACGTGACTGATTGGTCAACGAGTGTCGTCACTGGAAGCGACGTCTGACCCTTTGGGAAAAACAACTCAACCTTTAAAACCGGCTGCTCTGCTTCGGCTACAACACGTCCTCCTCACTCCAGAGAAATGGAATCCAAAACTCCTGAAACTCCTGAAGCTACTGAAGCTACTGAAGCTACTGAAGCTACTGAAGCTACTGAAACTCCTGAAGCTACTGAAGCTACTGAAGCTACTGAAGCTACTGAAGCTACTGAAGCTACTGAAGCTACTGAAGCTACTGAAGCATTCAAATCCATGGAATAATAATGAGACAGAACAGAGAGAAACCTTCTGTACATCTGCTTTCACCACGTTCAAGGCCACAAACAAACAAGACACATAACAGGAGCGCCCTGAGCCAACCTCACAGACCTCACAGACCTCATACAGACCTCATGGACCTCACAGACCTCATGGACCTCACACAGACCTCACGGACCTCACACAGACCTCACAGACCTCACAGACCTCACGGACCTCACACAGACCTCACAGACCTCACGGACCTCACGGACCTCACGGACCTCACACAGACCTCATGGACCTCACAGACCTCATGGACCTCACAGACCGCACACAGACCTCATGGACCTCACAGACCTCATGGACCTCACAGACCTCACACAGACCTCATGGACCTCACACAGACCTCATGGACCTCACACAGACCTCATGGACCTCACACAGACCTCATGGACCTCACAGACCTCACACAGACCTCATGGACCCCACAGACCTCATGGACCTCAAAGACCTCACACAGACCTCACAGACCTCACACAGACCTCATGGACCTCACAGACCTCACACGGACCTCACAGACCTCATGGACCTCACAGACCTCACACAGACCTCACAGACCTCACAGACCTCACACAGACCTCATGGACCTCACACAGACCTCACACGGACCTCACAGACCTCACAGACCTCACAGACCTCAACAAGCAGCCCCTGGACGCTCTGCTCTCTCCAGGGAACCAGACTCCTCACCCCTCCTCACCCCTCCCCCACTGGACACAGGTACATCCTTTCTCTGAACAGATGACTGTGATGTGTGTATGTATTACTACTACTGTTATTATTATTATTACTATTATTATTATTATTATTATTATTATTACTGTTATTAATACTATTATTATTACTGTTACTACTAGTATGAAAATGGCAGAGAGATAAGTGGGGAATCCATCTGACTCAGCAGGACCAAGACTTCAGCTGAAACATGACTACCTCCACGTTGCTATATTTAACTTTTTTCCCATAATGCATCTATATTACATCGGTGCCTGGACTCGTGGGCCTCGGTGGGCCTCGGTGGGCCTCAGTGGGCCTCGGAGACGCCACGTGCGGGTCTTCTCAGAGACAGGTGTTCCATGGGCAGGAGTGCTGTTGTTGTGGATGTCTTATCAATGATTCACTGCAGCACATCAGGAGGAGAGAGAGACGTCTGCGGCTCCGTGTTCAGGGAGAACTGCAAATATATAATTCAGGCGCTTGTCTGATGGAGCCGGGCGTGAACGTGACGGATGCTCGGCCCGTTGAAGATTCACGGTTCTAAAGCGCCGCCGTCAGAGCGCTTTGAGTCTGGACCCCACCGCCTCCTGGTAGGCCATTTTGTTCTGCGTCTCCACGAGTCTCACACCAGATTTAGCACTTTGGAAAACAACATGGCCTTGTGCGTTACTGAAGAAGATAAAACACAACCTGCAATATTCTGTGTGAAATTGTATTAGATTAGGTTCGATGATATTCTACTGTTTGTAGTTCATTTATAAACACCCCAGACTCAAGGCAAACTTCCATCCACTGTCCCACGATCTTTAACACAGTCAAACATGTAGCTAACAATATTAGGTTGGTGTCCCATTGACTTAAGGAAACAAACATTATATTTTTATGTATTTAATAATAATAATAATAATAATAATAATAATGCATTGGTTTTATAAAGCGCTTTTTGGACACTCAATGTCTCTTCACTTCATTATTCTTTCTCTCCAAACACGGTGGTGATAAACTACTGTAGCCACAGCTGCCCTGGGGCACACTGACAGAAGCGAGGCAACCAGTCTGTGCCATTGGCCCCTCCCACCACCACCAACCATTCACACCAGACTCATTCTAGGCAATGGGGGTGAAGTGTCTTGCCTAAGGACACAACGGCAGTTTGGCACCTTACAGCCGCAGCCGCCCCACTGTGGCTGGTGTTCCCAGAGGTTAAGTGTCTTGCCCAACGACACAACAACAGTAGACAGTGAGAGTCGATGGTGAAGGTTGGGCTCGAACCCACAACCCTCTGGCTCAAAGGCCAGTGCTCTACCAACTGAGCTACTGTCGCCATGTAATTCCTGATGGTTCTCAGCACATTCAGAAAAGCATTAATGATTGTGTATTTTATCAGTATTTCTCAGTAACTGCTGTGATGGCACCATGAGTCTGCATGTTCTCCCCTTGTCTGTGTAGGTTTCCTCCAGGTGCTCCGGGTAACCTCTACCACTACAACCGTTCAGGGTGAAAGAGCAATGACCAAAAAACTAAACATCAAATAATATTAATTATTAAAGACCAAAGGCTTCCAATGTCCAGCACTAAACTTAAACTAAGTTTTAAATTCATGGATTTAATGTCACAGATCTTTGTGGGATCAAACACAAACATCTGAGACGTTTGTGTTTGTGTTTGATGTTTGTGTTTGATGTTTTTGCTCTCAGCTCGGCCAAACAAATCCAAAGACCAGAGGATGTAAGATGGAAGATTAGAAAATGAAACGCCAGTCCGCTCTTGGCTCGGCTTTGTCTCGTTTTCTCGGGCACTGAGTTGACATTATCCCCGTGGATCAGGTTTTACCGAGCGTGGATTACGGCAAGAGACAAGCTGGGCCCGCCCCCAGAGTGGGAGGACCAGGGGAGGACCAGGGGAGGACCAAGG